GGGGGGTAGAGGGTGGGGGGTATTGTTTGGGGAGAGGGTGGAGTATTGATTGGGTAAGGTGGGGTTTGATTGTGGTAGAGGGTGGGGTATTGATTGTGGTAGAGGGTGGGGTATTGATTGGGGTAGAGGGTGGGGTATTAATTGTGGTAGAGGGTGAGGTATTGATTGCAGTAGAGGGTGGGGAAATTGATTGTGGTAGCGGGGGGTATTGATTGTGGTAGGGTGGGGTATTAATTGTGGTAGAGGGTGGGGTATTGATTGCGGTAGAGGTGGGGTATTGATTGTGGAAGAGGGTGGGGTATTGATTGTGGTAGAGGGTGGGGTATTAATTGTGGTAGAGGGTGGGGTATTGATTGTGGTTAGAGGTGGGGTATTGATTGTGGTAGAGGGTGGGGTATTGATTGTGGTAGAGGGTGGTAGAGATGAACCTCTCCTCCCTCTCCCCACCGTCTTCCAATAAAGGTAAAAGTGATGTTAAATGTTCATTTATCCATTTCATTAGTCCTTTATATTTTTTCTCTTTGTTTTCCGTATGTAAAACTATAGCTATTCTGTGTATCTTTGTTAATATAGTATTTTTTGTTAATACTTTTGGGTGTTTGGACCAGATTAATTGAATGTTCAATATTTCTTAAGGGAAATATTGCTTCGGTTTTCGTCAAATTTGGATTTCGTCAGACTTTCTGGAACAAATTAATGATGAAAACCAAGGTTCCACTGTATAGTACATGTATATTCATCGCTTTAGGGCGCTTTAACCCTTAATCTGTCCAAACGTAGATCTATGTTCACTCGCGTGGCGCTCCGAATATTTTGAAAAATAAATTATTTTTTTTTTTTTTAAATGAAGAGCACATTTTTCTACACATTATAGGATTAAAAAAAAAATTTGGGGGTCAGTTATTACCGAGATATAAGACCGTGAAGTTGCCTCTGGATGCTCACCTGACGGCAACATCGACTCCTGCTGCTTGCAGAAGTGTTGCCAATATACCTTTTTTTTTCTCTCGTTTTTATTTTAATTTATATATTTTTATGTTCTGATAATTACAATTTATAATAGTTCTTGTGATTTCATAGCCAATCTTTGTTCTGACACTAATATTAGGTACTAAAATAGTACTCAAATAGTCACAATCACATTGACAGGTGAAAATTTACACTTGCCTGGGTTATTATTGTCTAGAAATATATACAAAGTATTTATAGGTCCCAGCAATGTTTTAGACACCCTGGCGTATACCTTGAAGCATGGCGTTATGAAAGGCATCCCTATACTGTTAACAGCCCAGTGACATTTGATAAATGCCCACTGCTTCAGCTAACCCTCGATGTATTTGTTATCACTGTTACACACAAACATGTCCTGTCTATCTGTATCTGTCTGCCTGTCTGTCTGTGCTTATCTGTCTTTCTGTCTGCCTGGAGTATACATATATGAAACTCCTTGAAGAATGGTGTTATGACAACTGTTGACAGCTCAGTGACATCTGATAAATGGGAGCTCGGGGAACCCTGGCTTTATTTGTTTTCACTGATACACACAAACATGTTTGTCTATCTATTTGTGTCTATCTATCTTTGCCTGGAATTTTTGGGTTATCCTAGGTAATTTACACTATGTATAATAACTGTACTTATGCGTACACATGAGATAGAGATAAAGATAGACAGACAGCCAAAGCAAGCCAGAATGCCGAATACATAAGAACATAAGAAAGAAGGAACACTGCAGCACGCCTACTGGCCCATGCAAGGAAGGTCCATGTCACCCCTCCCCCCCAAGCTTAGACCAATGACCCACCTAGTCAGGTTACATCCATTGAAGGAAGGAGCATGACATCAGACCTAGTAGCACAAGCTAGTCAGGTCCAACTCACACCCATCCACACTCACTCATGTATTTATCTAACCTATTTTTACTTTCCTCTTAAAATGGGAGTGTTAATGCAACATGGCATCAGTGAATCCCTGGTGTTTGCCATGCTATTTGCTCTAGCTGGCACTCAATTGAACTGGTGCTCCCACAAGGTACTAAGTGCTCCCAAATTTTTTTAATACTGCGCACACTGAGTGCACAGACCCATTCTTTCATGTCTATGCAACTCAAGCCTATTGTACCAAATTTGAAGGAATGAAAAATAAAACGTTGCTCTACGTTCGGAGCACTACACGTGCAAACATAGATCTACGTTTGGACAGTTCAAGGATTAAATGTAGTCTATTATGTGTGGGTGGGGTGACCAGATGGGCTACCATACCTACCACACCTGACCTCTTACAATAAATACTACTCACCTTTCATCCTACATTTAAGACTACAAATATTTTGAGGTAAGTAATGAGTGTACTGTGTGTGCATTTTACTTTTTTTTGTATTTTAATGCCTAATTCTACTGCTAACCTAATATATGTTAGTGAAAACTTGTTATCTAGCATTTAAATGCATTTATAAGTGGAAAAAATGGCATTCTGCTTTCCAGTGATGTCCATTTTCTGGTGGTAGCCTGGAACCTAACCTGCCATGTAAGTGGAGCCCTACTGTATTAGTAAAACAGGTTGTAAAAGTCAACATGATACTTGTGTGTTGCGTTGACAACAGTAACTAATTTCATGTGAACTCTCCTCAATTTCATGGAATTACGTAAAATTTTAACTTAAAATTATGGCTTAGAACAGATTCAGTATGACCAGTTTATACATCAGCATTCATATTAGGCTCTTGTTGTTATTCCTAATATGGATATACATTTGTATAGGCATTATAATCTCAGAAGTGAACAATGATGCTTGTTTCAAATCAGGAATTACAAGAATACACACCTTTTAGTTTTTCCTAATCTCTTATTTCATAAAAATGTGCACTTTAGCACAACTTACATTTTTCATGCACTTCTTAGTCTAGCTGTTTAGTCATTTTGTATATGTCATTCCCAGAAACTTCAAGAAAAGAGATGTGTATTCATTCAGAAATCATTCTATAAATAAAATTGTGCAGAGTTAAATGAACTTGTAAAAATTAGACAAGGTATTTCTGAAAAATTGTACAGCCTGGGGGTTTAAAAATGAGACCATTCTTTATACAGTAGTGGCTAGGCACATTTAAAATTAACAAAACTGCAATATTACCTTCTTTTTTAACCTGGTTATATACCCAAGGAAGGTGATGGCTTTCACACGAACAGTGTCTCCCAGAGAAGAATTCCCACTTATGTCTAAACACAGCTGGATAACAGGACGCAGGTGTGGAACCAACAGTGCCACCTAGAAATTATATAGTGTTAAAAAACAAAATCCAGGTAAAATTGCAAGTACTGTACAATATATTTTGGAGGAAATACTGAAGAATGGGGAAGTGGGAAGCAATCATATTTCATCCAAAGAAGGGACTGGGGTGCCACCAATTCCCTGCTCCAGTCTTATTATTCTAATGTTACCACATTCCTAAGAATCTCTGAAGCCTACCGGCTTTCTTTACATCCTACTTCATAATGCCTGAAGCTGTGTTAAGAAGCAATGGTATACACAATTTAAGTTTTTAGTATGCAAGTTAGTAATTATCACTCAAAATGCCTCGTAAAAAAAAAATTGCTGGTTAAAGTGAAGTGTATAAACTAAATGCATAAACTAAGGGAAGAGGAAGTTAGGGTAAGATATAAGCAACTGTTGGCAGAAAGGTGGGCTAATGTAAGAACAAGTAATGGGGGGTTGAAGAGGGTTGGGATAGTTTTAAAAATGAAGTATTAGAATGTGGGACAGAAGTTTGTGGCTACAGGAGGGTGGGTGCAGGAGGAAAGAGGAGTGAACGGTAGAACGAAGTAAAGGGTGTGATAAAAGAGAAAAAGGTAGCTTATGAGAGGTTTTTACAAAGCATAAGTATTATAAGAAGAGCAGAGTATATGGAGAGTAAAAGAAAGGTGAAGAGTGGTGAGTGTGTGCAAAAGGAGAGCAGATGAAAGAGTGGGAGAGGCACTGTCAAGTAATTTTGCTGAAAATAAGAAAAAATTTTGGAGCGAGTTAGACAAGTTAAGAGAGCCTAGGGATCAAATGGATTTGTCAGTTAAAAACAGAGTAGGGGAGTTAGTAGATGGGGAGCAGGAGATATTGGGTAAATGGTGGGAATATTTTGAGGAACTTTTAAAAGTTAGTGAAGAAAGGGAGGCAGTAATTTCATGCACTGGTCAGGGAGGTATAACATCTTTTCGGAGTGAAGAAGAGCAGGATT